CGACTTGCCCATTTTGTTTTTATTCATGGAAAATGAGAAAGTTTTATTTTAAATTCCAAGATTTGAAGATTTGGCAGTGGAAAAGAACGGATGATCATTGGAAGAACTGTATTGGGTATAGTTTGAAAAATACTGGTATTTGTATTGCTCACGGATTGAATAGAATCATGTATACAATGTTAGCATTAACTATAGGTTCGAACGAAGATGATATGAGATATTTTGCAGCATTATTCAACACAGGATCTATTGACGACAGATTCCTCAATAAGCAATTGATGAAACCATATATCAGATCAGATTTGTTACTGTATTATGATAACATTGTTTGGACAAATAATGGTATTAAGGTTAAAGAAACCAACCCACAAAATCAAGCACGGAATAATGGAGTTGGATCAACAATAGTTGAATTTAATCAACTACTATTCAAAATGACAGACAAAATCGTTGTCACATTTGATGTATGGTTCCCAATTATGCAGAAATATTTTGAGGAGAGGAATAGAATAAGTTCATTATCCAGAATATCTCAATGTATTGCTCAAATGCAACAAGAACAACAAATTGCTGAAAGGCCGAAATTAGATGATAATATAAAGCGATTATGGAGGAATTTTCAAGATGTATGGAAGTTGTGCTATGATGATAGAGACGTTTGGAACACTTATAAGGCTAATGATTATATTCTTCCAAAATTATTCTAGAGATTTTCCACAAATCAATGTACAAGAATGTAGGCGAGTCTGCTAATGGTATTGCCGATTATGTTCATATCATTTGTTTCCATCTAATTGAATTATTTGAGAAATTCGGGCTTGCCCCATGGGAATATCATAATATTGATTCAGAAGCTTTACATTCGCATCAGAAGGCTACTGAAAATGCAACAACTTTAAATGGTGGATGCTTTCATGATGAAACAGAGGATTTGCTTGTTATGGATTTGAAGAAATTCTTCTGTAGATTGGGTGATGACTCTTTCTTGTGTGATATCTATGATAATAATAAAGCTGTTTCTTATAGATAATCAAATGTCTTGAATATGTATGATTAGAAATGTCACATGTTGGAAAAATTCCCACTTCGCAAGTAGAACAAATAAGGATGTTGTTGGATTTATTTGATTTTTTATTAAGGAAACAGCTGCGAAACTCATTGAGTTCCCCCGTCGTATTTCTTGTGGTTTGACTCGCTGTGCACTACTTGGAACCAACTTCCAAAAAAACAAAATGAAATCCTTCCTTACTGTCCTTATGGCCTTCTACTGCCTGGCCCTCACTCTCACATTTGCACATGGTTCCCAATTAGTAACTGATGATCCAAAGTGTGCAGATATTATGTGCCTACCTGAAATGTATTGTTCTAATGGTTCATGTATTTGTAGAACTAATTTCACATGTGGAGCAAGCTGTAATGTGGTTACATGTGCTTCTGACGCTTATTGTTTGAATGGTGCATGTAAGGCAAAGAAGGAACTATCCAATGATACATCTCTTAATAATGTTGGTGTACTCTTTTTGGTTACTCTCACTACAATTTGTACTGTTTTAGTTTTGTGATTTGATATATATTTTCAATAAATTCCTCAAGAGGAGTGAACTTGCCCTAATGGAATTTTCCTCCAAAAATTTTAAAAGACATAGTAGGATAGGCATGCTGTTTTAGGTTGATCAAATACTCTGGCCTTATAATCTGGATAGCTATGGAGGGCTAGTTGTAGTAATTCTCTATCAGGAGATAATACAGTAATAATTTTCGGATTAATCACGAATAATCTCAAAAATCTAGAATGATCTTTCAGTATTTGCTGTTGAACAAGTATTAAATAGCCAGAAATCTCAAATTCTGGATAGGTCTTTACACATTCCTCAATAAACTCTAATATCTGAATTATAATGAATTGCATTCTCTTGGCTAATATTCAATATAGCTCCAAATAAGACATCTCTGTCTGAATGGAATGAAACTTGAAGGTCTTCAAGACGAGCTCTATTCTTCTTCACTAATTCCACTATAATTTTCCTTATCAATTGTGAGAGATGGATTCAATTCATTATAGAAAATATTAGAATTTTTGGCACATTCTAGAACGAAACTTCTCTTGGATCGAAGAGGTTCCTCAACTGTAGAATAGATAAATCCATTCCTGACTGCTTCGATCATGACCTTTTCATTCTGTATGAACTCTCGAGGAAGTTTTCTAATAGATCTTAATCTGTGGTTCCTCTTCAACGCCTCCAACACGAACTCTTCGTCAACCAGGATGGCATCGATTTGAGAAAATATTGAGGATAAATCAAAATAGCCCACCCTGATAATTCCCTATCTTTCTTAATAATTTCTAAAACATCACTAAGGTCAGGCATATCGTCCCCATTCAATAAGAACAAATATTTTAGGTATTCTAACAGAATTCGTTTGTCCTTTTGATACCTTTGAGATTAGACTGCTCTACATCTTCCATTGTTCTGTTCTTTAGTGATTCATAAACAATTTCGACATAGTTAAAGAATTTCCTATCAGCAAATTTTCAATTCTAAAGTTTCGAACACATTTCAAAACAAACTCTCTATCCTTCCTAAACGAATCTGGTGCATATTGCAATACTCGACACTTTTTAGAAACTGCCAATTCCAATATTTGAGGATCCTGTTGTAAAGGTTTGGAGAGTTTATAGAAAATACTTGGATGATTTTCCATTAATTTTAAAACATATTCCTTCTCTATTGATAGCTCACCACTCACTGAAAATGATTCATGTTCTGCAGCTGCAATCAACACAGAAGCATCGCTCTCCTCAATAATTCATCACAACAAGAGAATGCTCGATTACTGTAACGAATAGAAACCAATGCAAGTTCCTTATCTTTTGATCAACTCCTTACTTGCATATCTAATGGCATATCCATTCACTTTACAAACACCTAACATGAAATCCCTATCATTGACATATTTTTCAAATTCTGGACACATTTCAAATCCAGAACTTGCAATAATACACATCATTATTTCTGGATCATTCACCAAACTTCCATAATCCTCCAATTTCGAATAATAACATCCCAATGATTTATATTTTGCTAAAAACATGATCAACACTCGGTGTCCTTTCCATCTTTTTGGAATCTTGCTATCATTATTCGGAAATAATCGTAAATGATCAATCACTCATTCGCAATACTTGCATTAACAATACAAAATCATCAATTAATTCAATAAATTGATAGGAATATTGCAAGAATAGATTTCCCAAACAAGTTGTAAACCCTATCATTATTATTTTGTTTAATATATTACAAAATATTAATTCAATATAATTTAATGTGGTGAACCTTGAGATAACAAATTTGTGTGCAGCAAAAATAAGAAGCAGGTGAACTCGGCACATGGGATGAACTCTTTTTGAAAACAACACAAAAAAAAATCGTCTAATCTTGTACCATCACACAGGTGTTAGGAGACGAAGATAACTTATTGATCAACCAGCATCACACAATAATAATAACACTCTTTGTAAATGTCATCATCATCATCGTCATCTAATGATGAAATTCCGTCCATGATCGTGGCTGATCAGGATGAAAAATCCATGAAACAAGAACCACCAAAATTTGATGAGAAAGATCAAGTCGAGGTGCCATTGAATCAATTCTTGACTTTATTGTCTGCCTATGATACTTATTCTAATGTACTTGATGATATTAGTACTAGTCAAGCAAAGGAACCTCCTTTTAAACATATGCTCCAAGAAATGGATATTGAAGGAAAGACTGAGAAGGATAAAGTCACTTTGAAATGTAAATTATGTGTTATGGTTTTAGTTGACAAATATGCCAAGTTCAAGTTATTTAATGTAAATGAAAAGTTTACTGTTTTAGATTATTCAGTTCAAAAGGAAAAGAATGTCAAACCAGTTGACACAACCAATGGAAATATTTCTACTTATTTCGAGAGAGATCAAGAGGAAGAAGTTGCTCTTGAAAATAATGTTGGTTTTATTGGTGTATTTGATAACTCATACTGTTTACACACCAATGAAAAGGGCCGTTATCATGTTACTTTGAATTTGTGTGTACCATATCAAACTGATCAAAAGAAATCCTTGGAAATTAATTTCCCATTCACAACTCCAAGAAATCATTTGAGACGTTTTGAAATTGATGGTGATTATTATGACATTCACGTTGAGCCATCCTCAGGTTTCAAGACTAAATTTGAAGAATCAAACAGAAAGAAGAGAACCATCTTGACAGATTGCTTGTTCCCTCCTACTCATAAACTTTCTCTGTATTGGACAAGATCGGAGAAGGTTATTCAAGAAATCTTGAAAGCTCAAAAGGTAAATGAAAAAGTCGAGAAGAAGGAAGAAAAGAAAGAAGAAAAGCAACTAAATGTCAGTGTTGATCAACATGTTCTTCATAGTATTGGAAATGGTTTAATCTCATCTTCAGTCGATATGGATTATACTATTGTAAATGGATCTGTAAATACCCTATTTGTATTATTCCAATTCAAGACTTCCCCACAAGACAAGTTTAACGATAAGGATGCTTGTCCAATCAGAATTCTTAAAGTTGAAGGAAGAAACATTAAGAATTGGGAAGTTAAAAAATTGAAATCTAACACCGCTCAAAGTAATGCCCCAAGACAAGCTGTAAATGATAACCAAAGTGAAAGTAACTATTCAATTCAATTACTCAACTCTGTCCACTCTGATAACACCAATTCTTCCTTCTTGCAAACAGCTGCAAATTATGGTGATTTCTTCTTGAAGGTTACTTTGGATACAGGTGTTGAAGGAAGTTATCAATTGAGATTATTGGCAGAAAGAGATACAAGTGAAAGTTGTAAGACTCACCTTCCAACATTTAGTTGTATGAATGTAAATAGAGATAAGGGTTTCGTTGGAATTGAGGCAGTTCAAAATGTTGAAATCAATGAATTGAAATATGTTGGTTTCACCAAACTTGCCCCAACAGAATTACCACAAAAAATTACTTCCAAGGCATGCGATTCCTTACTTTTTGGTTACAAGTTTTTACAATCTGTTGGAAATGATTTATTCTTAGAGATTAAGAAACACGACGAAGTGGCTGTTTTGGTTGCTGTTATTCAAGAGGCTGTATTCACTGTTACATATAGTGACAGTGGTTTCTTATTCTACTATGTTGCTATGAAGGTAAAGAATTCAAGTCAAAACTATGCTAGAGTTCAACTCGTACCACCAGGAGTGAAGTATAGTCTCTTCAGTACCAGTGTCAAATCAGAAATTGTTAGACCTGCAATTGATAAGGAAGGCAATATTCTTGTGCCACTCAAACGCGGAACAAGTGATATGATTTTCTCAGTTGAACTCTTCTATACTGTTCCAGTATCAGAGTTGATGAAGGATTCTGGAAGACTTGAAGTTGTCCTTCCAAAATTCAACATTCCAACAAACAAATCATACTATGTCGTCAACTTACCAGATAATTATAATTATGGTGAATTTGAAGGATCCATGAAGGAAGTCAACTCATTTGACACTACACCAACAGTCAAATCATTGATTTCCACTGAAGCATCATCTGCACATTCCCTAGGAGGATACAATATTTCTAATTCTATTAGACCTCAAGCTAAGCAGCAACTTCAACAACAACAACCAATGATGCAAATGATGTCAAATGTCTACATGCCACAATCAAATGTATACTCACCTCCACCACAAATGCAATACCAACAACAAGCAAGAAATATTTCTCGAAATAGATCTTCTTCCCCAGGATTTTTTGAGGAAGATGAAAGGGCATACAGTGACGATGAATTAGCATATAGTGATGAGGATGAGGATGATTCTGCATCAGACTCTGGATCAGAGGATGGATTTGGTGGTGCTTCATCTTCAAACATCACCAGTAATGGACCATCTGGAATGGTTACTGGTGTTATGCCTGTTAAGCTGCAAGCTATTTCAACAGGTAGACCATTCCTTTTCCAAAAGATGCTCATCTCAGAAAATGAAGATCATCTTAAATTAAGTGTTGAGTACAAGAAACAAATAGAATCTGTTCTCAACAAGAGAACTCTCCTTCCAGTGACCGAAGCTTTCTGGGGAGTCTCTCTTATATTCATTGGCTTTGTTCTCTACCTCCTTTTCTGCCTTATTTCATACTTTTTGTAACATTCCAATAAACTTGTACTGATATTGGTTGAATCCACAAGATTTTTTGGCAATCAGTAATAGGATAATTGCCTTTAAAATTTTGAAATTGTTGCATTAAGATTTTTAACAAAAGTTTAATAATATTATATTTAAAATGCAAAAAATGGAACAACTCAGAAAAAAAGATTCTCAAGTAAAACAACTGCCTAGTGCATCACTTCAACAAACAGAACAAGATGATGTCGACACAATACCTGGTATTCATTCAAAATTGAAGGAATTTTCAGTTTCATGTTTTTTAGCTTGTCGTGAAAAACTTGATCACCACGATGCAGTTGATGATAATAATAATTATCGATACAAGTTATCAATACAGCCAAGATCCAATGTGATTGTTAGAGAATTGTTGAGAGAGTCACCCGATGAATTACAGGAAATATTAGGAGATGATGTTTGTACAATAACTTATGATAATCATCAGCAAGAACAATATTTGGGAAGAAGTAATAATAATAATACATTGGAAAAGGATATTGAAGACCTGATTCAAAGTATAAATGATTGTGAGGAGAAGGAATATTTGCAACCAACACAAACAATGATTGAGAGAAATTCCGAATTTAAATATCAAACAGTTTATGCAATAATCAAAAATCCCGAATATTTGTATTATATTCAATTGTTTGATAATTCTATCAATACAAGAAATGATAAGGAAGCAATATCGAATATTGATAGAGCAATTAGATTAATGCCAACCTATTGTTATGCTTACTTTAGGAAATGTGTATTCTTTTGGTCAAAGAATGATAGAATTTCCATAGCAAGAACAATACGATTTGCTTTCCATCATTGTTCAAATACAACCATGAACGAGTTTTGGTTTCATGCTTTGAAAGGATTGGAATTGTATTCAAATTATGATTCACAGAGTGCAATTCATCATTTCAAACAATGCTTAAAGTGTTATAGAGTTTGTAGGGAAAGTATTTTCGTACCTCTGGTTTGGTGTGGAAATTTATACTTGGAGAGAGGAGAGGAAAGAGTTCAGAAATCTATTAGTTTCTACTCGTGTGGATTGAATCACAAATATGAAGGACTCTTTTTTGATAGTGAAATGGCTATTCTGTACAATAATTTGGGAAGAGTTCAATCATTCAATGATCCAAGTGGTGCACTGAAAACTCTTACTTCTGGAGCTAATTTATTTCCAAACTATGTTCTCATTCATAGAAATAGAGGTGATGTTTATACCCATCTCCTCCGACACGAAAGTGCCCTGAAAGATTTTGAAAAGTGTATTCAATTAATTGCCTGTACCTCTGCCAAAGTTGAAATAATGTGTGAATGTGCTGAAATTTATTATGTGATTGAAAATTGGAAGAGAGCACTCCAAATCTATGAACAAACCAAAGAAATTAACAGGGACGCATCAGCCTATTTTCTACTATCCCCAGTGAGGCATGAATTATTCTCTCAGTATCACCCCTATGCAAAAGAGCCAGGTATAGCTACTGAAGTTCTACTTGCTATAGAATATAGTCCAACACATAGAGATTCTCTTGTTGTTAAGCTTTCCTTCCTGAGAATGGAAACAAAAAAGCTTATCAAATTTTTACAACATAAATATTTCGGTAGAATTAGTTAAACAAATTTGAAAATAATTAATCATCAATAATTTCCATTTCCACCAAGTCTTGCTTCTTTTCTAATTTAATTTTTCCATTCAAAATATTATCCAACACTGGAAATTTGCGTTCCATCCTTCTCTCAAAATCTTTTTTAAAATCTGTTCCTTCCAATAATTGTCTCATAAAGGCTGCTTGTTCCACATTTGATTTTCCTTTTGTTTTTTGTAGAATCATTTCAGTGACTTCTTCATACATTAAATCACTCAGTTCATTATCAGCAATACCAGCCAAAGCTAATAATGGATCTCCACGTGTCGGAACAGGTGATGGAGTTGGTCCAAGAGATGAATTATTTTGATGATGAATGAGTCTCGGTTGTGGAGGTGGTAAAAACATTGATGATGGAGGTTGTGGTGGCGGAATAAGTTTGGTTTGTTTCTTGGTAGTGTTCCCCGTAGAAGATGAAGACGATGATGCTGAAGATCGGGTGCTTTTACGTGGAGGCATTTTTTATAATATGAAATGTTTATTAAACATCTTTACAATATTAAAAAAAATGAAGAGAAATCATCTAAATGATCACTTCCTCATGTCCAATCACATTAAGAAAGGTAAATTCCTCCAATCATCAGAACAGGTGCAAGTTTACTTGGATTTGTCATTTGAATCCAAATTATTAATGAAGAAAATTGCAGACGTTAAAGATAAATTCGAAACGATATTTGCACCATATCTTTTAGAGTTTATGAAAAGATGGTACAAGATTCGGAATATTAGTAGAATGGATGATAATGAGGATGATAGTGATGATAATGAGGAGGAGGAGGAAGAGGAATATGAACATTCGGATGATGAGGATGATATTGATTTTCTCCATTCTGGAATTGATCTAAAACGTGATGGATTTTATGTATTTGAAACTGTTTTGAATTTATTAAAAATTGAATATCGTCCTATTCGTCTAATATTGAAAGCATTAAAGTTATGGAGTAATGAATTATTTGTCATGAAGAGCATTGATAAACGTCTACTTGATATTCATTCAATACCTATAAGAATGAAACAAAATAGAGCCATTGTTCTGAATATTATAAAAACATATGGAATGAAATTACATGACTTTCCACAATTTGAAAATGATAGAGAAATGGCCATGCAAGTAGTTATGAATAATGGCTCAGAAATCATATCCCTTAATTCTGATTTTAAAAACGACAGAGAAATTGTTAAACAAGCAATGATGACCTTTCCTATTACATTGCGGTTTGCATCTAAAGAATTACAAAATGATAGAGAACTAATTCTTTTCTCAATTCCGTATTGTAAAAACATTCCGTTTTCCCATGAATTTAAAAATGATAGAGAAATAGTTATGAAATCCATTCAGAATAATCCAAATATGTTAGGTTATATAGCATTGAAAAACGATAGAGAAATAATTTTAGAAGCAGTTAAGAGGAGTGGATCTATGCTAACTCACTGTTCAGAGCAATTAAAAAATGACAAAGAAATAGTTCTAACAGCTGTCATGCAAGATGGATATGCACTCCAGTATGCTTCAGATAAATTGAAAAATGATTACAACGTTGTAATGGCAGCTGTCAGACAAAATAGTTATGCCATTCAATATGCATCTGATGAATTGAAAAACAATAGAGATATTGTAAGAGAAACTGTAACGAAGAATGGAGCAGCTTTTATCTATGTATCAAATGAATTACAGAAAGATCGAGAATTTGCAATTTTAGCTGTGAAAAATTGTGGTATTGCACTTAATGAGTTCTTCAAAAATGATAAGGAAATTGCAATGATTGCTGTTCAACAAAATAGCAATGCACTGAAAATCATATCAAAAATATTGCAAAATGATAGAGAAGTAATTATACCTGCTATCAGTAAAGACGGATGTGCACTTAGATTCGCCAGTGAAGAATTGAGAAACGATTTTGATATTGTAATGAAAGCAGTCAACCAAAATGGACTTGCCCTTCAATATGCATCCGAAGAGGTGAAAAATAATAGAGAAGTGGTAAGTGCTGCAATCAAAAATTCTCCGGAATCTCTTAGATATGCGTCGAAGAATTTGCTAAAAAATGATAGAGAAATAGCACTATTAGCTGTCAAATTGAATGGTAGTACTTTGGCGTTTGTTTCACACAGTTTAAGAAAAGATAGAGAAATAGTTCAAGAAGCAGTAAAAGAAAATGGTATGGCACTCGTCCATGCTAACAAGAAATTGCTTAATACTTTCTCTATTGTAATGGAGGCAGTTCAACAAAATGGTAATGCACTTCAGTACGCAAAACAATTAAAATATTGTAGAGAAATAGTAATGGTAGCAATTAAGAATTCATTAGATTTATCACGTTTACCAGAGAAGTTTTATTTTGATAGAGAAATTATGGAGTTTATTATTAAAAGATTTTGGAAATGAGGAATAATGGAATGGTTGAGTTTATTTATTGACCTTCAACTCCTGCTCTATGTTTATCAGACATGTCATGATTGTAATCTCTGTGCATACATTCATCACCTCTAATTACCAATACAACATCTCTCATTGTTGCATCTGGTTTCAAATTCCAATATTTCAATGCAATTTCTGGAGCTTTACAATTTGGAATGTCTCCATTATCAATAGCATTCAAAAATTCAGTATAGGCACCCACTGCTTCCTCTTCCAAATATCCAACCAAACGATGACAAAATCTTGGATTTACAAAATAGGCACCAGTGTAAAATGAAGTAAAGGCAACTTGAGCTCCCACAACCAGTAATCTTTCCAGGAAGGTTGGTTTTGTCATTTCCATCCATGTTAACAAGTGCATTCTTTCATTCTCAGCTTCTTCCATTAATTCTCCAATATGTCCATGATCTCTTCTCATCAATCTCAATGAACTGAAATGTCTCCAGCCACCTGCAACGATACCAGGAACTGCTGCGACTGTTTCCAAGACAACTGCATGGTGAATGTAACGATTTCCAAAGAATCCATGGACGAAAACTCTCAAAAACTTCATAATTGCAAGAGCTGTCTTATCAGTCAAGTCAACTGGTTTGTATGATCGTTTGACTTCGAATTTTTCTAATTCTTCAACATTTGTGTGGATTCCATCTGTTCCATAGCCACGGAATTTAGTTTGGGCAAGAGGAATGTGTGCCTTGTAATGATCTAGAACCATGTCCTTTGTAAACATTGGTTTATCCGAAGGTTGATGATCCCATTTATTGGAAACTGTTTGAGCTGTATGGGAAAGTTTAAAGGAATTGTTGAGTAATTGTTGATAGGCTAAGATGGCACTAGAGGATCTCTTAGCAAAGTGTTTAGTTTGTTGTGATAGCATTTCTAATATTTTTTTTGTATTTGGTTGAGTGTTGAGACAAATAGTTTAGTCCGCTTTAAATTGGCAGATGATCCTCATTGTATTTTTAGGGACATTTAGCACGCATAGATGGATGATTCTCAAATGGTGGTATTTTTCAAGATAATTCAGCATTAGTCCGTCAGTCAATTTGTTGTAATTTTATCATAAAACAGAATGAAGGTTTAGTTGGTACTTTTATATCTTTTCAGATTCTAAATTGGAGAAAATTAGAATATTGAGTAAATGGATAACAATATATTACAAACACATTGAACATTCCAGGTCAAATTGGATTTTGTGGAAATCAATGATTGATTAAGGTTGCCAAGTGAATTGTTTTTTTTTCCAATTTTTCATAGGTCTGTCCTAGGAGTGATTGAATGACGGCTAGTGTGAAATCATCACTTGATATTGTTCCAAGAGCTTACTGTTGAATGAATCAATTCTACGACATTCAGAATTTTTCCAATTGAAAAACAACCATTACAAGAAGTAGCCATTAATTCACCTTTTTTTGTAATATCCCAAAGATCTCAATCACCTTTTGCCAACCTTACAAAATTATATTCATTGTGAGATCTGAATATGTACAAGGAACTAATCAATATCACATGGAGATGAATTCGGCATCTCAATTCGATTGTACCAGTAGAGCCAATGCTTCCTTGATTATTTCTTTTTCTTTCACGAAACTCAGCATACTACTGAGCATTTCTTCATCACAGAATTGTACAAGTATAGTAGCTATTTCATTCTCATTAGCTGTCCCAATAGCGCTTACTAATGTTCGGAAATGAAAACTTTTTCTTTTTGTACAACTTCTGCCCAAAATATATTTCAAATTATCAACAGATAACTCCTTAATTGGTAACTCAATACCTATATTGCAGTTCAATAAATCAGAAAAAGGGCTAAAGTAACGCTTTCCATTATCTAAGTATATTACACTATATTTTTGAGTATAATTATTTGTCAATGGTTGTTTTTGTAGATGAGGTCTGTTACTAATAAAAAGCATGAAAATAGGAGCACTGGATAACTTTTCTTTTTGATTTTCTAGTTTTTTTAATTCAGGTTCTATATCATCTTTAAAACCTATGTGAGCTTGTTTTTTTGTATGTTTGACTTGTAGATAGCAAAATAATTCGGTTTGGCTCTTGTCTGGTTTACATACTTTCAAATATGAAAATAAATCAGCGAAAGGAGCTGACTTGCCATTTTTGTAAATAATATTAGGACTTAAAGTTATACCATTGGTAATTGGATACTGTTTGTCTAGTGTTACAGAAGAATAAGTGGAGTTATCTAATTGAATTATATAATCATGAAAATCAACATCTATTGTAAATAAATCTTTGATTGTAATAGGTTCATTAATAACATTCAATGCTTTTAGCTTTTGGAAACAATTTAGCTTTGTCTCTAATAGTTGTTGATTAAATGTCTCAAAATTATCAAAATTATCATTGAATGTTTCCCAATGTTCAAAAGAGTTACCCAGTTTGTTTAGAAATGATGATGATGATAATTTCTCTAACATTACCGATATTATTAAAAGAGGTATCTCTATTAAAATTTGGTCAGTTGAAATTTGTTTCATAAGTACAATATTACTCTTCTGATATTGTAAAATTGGTGTGGAGTTAAAAACATAGTCCTTTGAAATGGTAATACCTGTGAAACAGAGAGATAAGAAAAATTCAATTTCATCTCTATTTAAATTCAGTTGAAATCTATCTTGTTTCCTATTACCAACAACATTTTGAAGCTCCTTTAGGGTAGCTGAAATACTTTTAGTGTTTCTATATTCTTTGATAAATTCTACACATAATCTTGCATGTCCTCCCATTGTTAGATATGCATTTAACAACTTAATTTCGTAGGGCATTTTCATTTGTTTGTAAAGAAGGTAATTTTCTTCCTTGTTGAATTTAGAAATTGTAATTCTGGAGAGAAATGCTTCTCCTCCAGACTCTACAGATTTGAGATTCATCATGGTGTGAACATGGGTACCTGTGAGTAAATTAGTAAACAGATCACGGCTAAATTTAACAGTTTGATGAATGTTTGAAATAGCAATACACCAATTGTCAATTATAGAAATATCAGTTATGTACTGAAATGCTTGGTTATATTCATCAATGGTTAAATGTATCCAAACAGGCAAATCAGTAAAATTAGATTCCCTTCTAATGATCCATGAAATTACATTTACAAGTGTTTGATCATTAGGATAAACACTTCTTTGCAAATCATTATAAATTTCCCTATAAAAAGCCAAACTTGTTAACTCGTCCATAATTTTTCCATTGTAACTATGTGATCTGACATGTGTAATGTAACTAAAAATCATTCTTGCTGCAGTTGATATAATTAGGTTGTCTTTTGCTTCTTCAATAGTTGGATTATAACCTGAATTGAACCAAATTGCCAAATTAACAAAATGATATCTCAGTGGTGAATTGAATTTATGTTTCAAAAAACCAGGTAATTCATATGCAAATCTAGACTTCCCTACACCTGGACAATCTCCAATAAACATAACCGTTGCTGTACTTAAGTTTTTACTATCCTCTTTAGCCATGGTGGTGGAAACATAATTCGAATACTTT